ACTCTACAAGTGATTCCTCATACATTGGTCTGTTCAGAGACACCTGGAGGTGGTCAGATGGAAGCAGTTTCTCTTTCAGACACTGGAATAAAAACTTTAACGATCAGATAATCAACAGTGGTCAATGTGCCATGACTAAGTTTGATGGTGAAGGCAGATGGACGAATGTGAGCTGTGATAATAAAAAACCCTTCATCTGTTATGATGGTGAGTTGTTAGTTCAAATATAAGTTTATTTAAAAATTATTACAGTGAATAGTTTTCTCATTCATGTTTTAAGTTTTAATTCTTGCATGTCACAGATAATGTCATTGCATCAAACAAAAGCCTCAACATTTGATCAGTATCAGAGGCACATAGTACATTCACATTTACTTTAATAAGTTTTTTGGGGGAAAGTACCTTCAGTAGTAGTTTTAAACCCTAATATATTGTAATTTTACTTGAGCTATATTATTATAAAATAATATTTTTCTCTATAGAGTAACATTTGTTGATATTCATTGAATAAAGGCCAAACATATTTTAAAAACTCTCTGGACCCAGAAACAAACCTGCAGTTCCTGTTCCAACACAAACTCTATTGTTCTCATGTTATTCTCCACCTGCTGAGCCATTTGGAGGTCAAGTTAAAATACAGTGAACCCTGGAAGTACTTTACCTATTTGTAACATATTGTTTATGTATTTCCTACTGTTCAAGTATTAGTTTATATGTCTAGGAAAATTGATTTAGAAATGTGTTGTTTCTAATTTGTTTTAGAAATTAGAAACAATATTTTTTCAAAATAATTGAAAAAATATTTCAATTATTTTTGTCTTCAAAATATGACAATTTGCACACACCTTTATATTATTGCTAGTATCATGACATCATCTAGAAATGATGAATCAGATTTTATGATTTTTACTAAAGTATCTTTTTTATCAAATTTTTACTCTTGAGTAATTTCTTAGGCAACTACTTAAAGACGTAACTGTTGTTCTTGTCAAATTAGTTCATGGTCATTATTTTATTTTTTAATGTTTGTGTCGATCAATTTTGTGACAGATAAATTTATCCTGATCAAAGAAAATAAAACCTGGGAGGACGCCTTGTACTACTGCAGAGATCACCACCATGACCTGGTCACCATCACCAACATGGATGATCAGAGATGGATCCAGGAGAAAGTCAAGAACGCATCAACTCCTTTTGTCTGGATGGGTCTGCGTTACACCTGCACTCTGGATTTGTGGTTCTGGGTCAGTGATGAGGTGGTCAGATATAAGAACTGGGCTTTAGATGGACAGATGGACGACTGTGACATGTCTGGAGCCATGGAGACGGGAGGAGGACATCAATGGAAAAAGAAAAAGGATACTGAGAAGTTTAATTTCATCTGTTCTAAGAATTAAATCTGAAACTGTCCCCTGTGAGAATCTATTTCCTCTGTTTTCATCGTTGTTTTGCTTCATGTTTATTTCGAATCATGATTTGTTGTTACATATGTCATATAATATGAACTGTTGTGCATTATGTGAAAGAATTACCAGGACATTTTAAACACTTATGATTAACTAAGTTACCTTGGAGTGAGTTTGCTTTACTTTTTCAGTTTTCTTTATCACATGTTGAAGGAACATTCAAACAAACTAGAGCCGCTATGGTCTAGTTTACATTTAGCTCCTAATTTTACTGCAATGTTTTGTTGTTTTTTCTTTTGTCAATGATTAATTTGGAAATAAAATATATAATTATTCTCTTCTTTTAACATTTTTCACTTTTAAAGATCTATTCATTCACTCTCTCTATCAAAAGCCTCTGCTGGGCTTTAAAAGGAGCGTTGATGGTATTAAATTAGAAATGTGGCATTTCCTGCTTCCTGGAATCAAACTAAGACCGTAGTGAACAAAACCTCAATGTTTGGACTAAACAAGGAAATGAGATTCCTTTCAAATCAGACATGCTAGGAT